AAAGACTATGGTCTCTGCAGTGAATTTTCAAAGTCTATTTTAAAAATCCAAACCAAGAATGGCTTTCTTTGGTCTCTCTCTTGAGATGACCCCTTCTTGGGGCACTGGATACCTTGTGGTTTTGTTTCAAAGGGGCTTTGGGATAGGGGAAGGGAGTAAAAAGAAATTGATAAAAGGGAGTTGGGTGGTGGGGGCAGGTCTCCAGGGCACTTCATCATATTACCTTTACTTAAAAACAAAGAAGTGAAGTAATAGAAGAAACATATCCCTTTTCCATTTCCCTCCTAATTTGTACATTGAAATTAATTCTCCTGTATTTGTGCTCTGGAGGAGTTTTGAATTCTCTTTCTGTTCTTTCTGTGAAAATGTCAGCCCAGTATGCATTTTTAGTAGATGTGCTTCCAGCAAAAACTTGTCCTGAATATCTCTGATGTGCAGTCATCTGAGATTTTCCCATTTGTTCCAAGGTACTTGAAGGGCGGATTTGGTTTTGAAATTTACACCTCACATCCACTGAACTTGGACATAATCTTTTCATGTTGACTGTGCATCTTTCACAGCATAATGACTTCCAAGCTTCATTTAACCTGATTCATCCTAAACAAGGAAGCTTGAGAGGTGGGAGAGGCTAGAAAAAAAAAAAAAAGGTTTTTCTCTTTAGTGTTTTTGGAATTCTGCCATGTTTTTGATGCTACCACTTTAATTGCCCCTTTAGTGATATTATACTGAGCACTTTATTCAGAGGCTCATTTAGAATACCTGCTTCAGAAAAATGCGGGTCAGGTGGGAATGAAGCCCAAAGTGAAATTGCTACTTCACGTGACAACTCATCAGCGGGGTCAAGTGCTGTCATTTTTTTGTTTACATCTTCGATAATTTGGTGCAGATGACACTGGCAGTTTGCCAGTTTTGTTTCATTTTGTTTTATTTCTCCAGGCGCAAAGGTGTTTTAGAAAAGAAACTGAAGCCCTATACACGTAGTTTATTAATCTGTTTTGTTTTTTTTTTTTTAATTACTGGATTTTATGCCACGTCAAAATAAATTAACTGAGATAATAACTACAAGAGAATTTTGAAACCTTGGAAGGTCAGTATATTGAATGTATTTATTTAATTCCATATATATTCCTCATGGGCTGCATTTCAGGATGATTGATGAACAGGGACTTTGCATATAAAAGTAAAGGAAGTAAAATGATACCTACTAACCAGACTGCAGGAGAAAGAGATCTATTGACTGATTCTGGCAGAATTTTCCCAGGAAGGTCAAAAAGGGAGAATGTAACACATCAACATCTTTAACATGAGATATTTTGTATTTGATGCATATGATGATATATTTTGAATTAATAGAATTACTATTGATACAACTTTTACCTATTATTTGAGCTACGAAATTCTACTTCCCAAGAATTATAATGGTAATCTTTCTTTCCTTTATTTCTTTTAAATTTCTGGAAATTAACCTGGAACTTTACTTGAAACCACTTAGTTTCCAGTTTACATGCAGCACAGGAAAAGCTTTGCTTTTTGTTCTTTTTCAACCACGAGAAGAGAATATTTCATATAAGCAGTTGGTTGATCTTTATGTACCTACTAAAATTACATTAATAAGGTGAAATGGACAGTATTTACCAAAGTTCATTTATGCTCCTTTAAAAAAAATCCTATTTTTATATAATGACTCGATTCTTACTTTCTCAACATGTACTCCAAACGAAAATTGTTTTAAAAATCATTGTGATACTACTAATTCATATTGGTTAAGCATTCATGATGTCACCATTTTTGTTAAGTCTGTGAATTTCAAAGATATCTGTATTTTTACTATAGGTGATTTGAAGTACAACAGTATGGAAATAAGGGTCGGGGGAATGGGAGTCAGTAATTTAAGTTGGATGGGATTATTAGCCATTTAAAAGAATCACTTTATTATTTTTTTTAATGTTTATTTATTTTTAAGAGAGAAAGCATGCACAGGAAGGGCAGAGGGAGAGAGAGAGAGAGAGAGAGAGAGAGAGAGAGAGAGAGAGAGAGAATCTGAAGCAGGCTCCACATAGAGAGTCAGGTATCGCGAGATCATGACCTGAGCCAAAGTCGGATGCTTAACCGACTCAGCCATCCAGGTGCCTCTAAAAGAATCTCTTGAAGCTTCAAATCCTTTCTTACACAGGGTTATGAAGAAAAGTAAAATAAATTATAGTCTACATATGAAAATGAGCATAAACCAATTATTGTGCCATGTTAAATCAACGGATGCAAATGCATCTCCAAGGGTTTTCATTATGATCACAGATTGAAGCCAGTCTAGTAGATATTCCATGTAGGAAGAGGAAATTTTACAAGATAAAGAGAAACACTTATGTCACATATTATCCAGCTTTATACATTAGAATTTATCTATAATTTTTGACATGGAAGGACCTCCTTCCCATCTTACACCCTTCAAACATCCCTCCCCATTCCGTATGAGATATTGCTGGAAAGCCTACCATTATTATTGGTTGTCAGGGGAAGGATTTTTTCACTTCACATGCACATACCCCTCATTAAGATGGCTTAGGCTCTAATCGATTTTTCATAGATTAGTTTCCAAACTGTATCCGGTATGTCTCCTGTCTGACAGTTAGGAGGTCTCAGGGCCATTAGAAAATGGGAGGAGAAAGACTTGTGTGCTGTTATGCTACCTCCTGCTGGGCGATGGTGGGGAAGCCAGGAGGAGGGTGTCAAGCAGAGGTGGGAAGATGGGACGATAGAGAAGACTGAGTTCTTGATCACTGATTCTAACACTGCCTCCAGCTAGTCATGTTAAACTTGGAAATTAAACTGTGCTAGCTTGATCATATGTTGGTACTTGGAAAATAAACTCTGTTAGCTTGATCATCTGTTGGTACGTTGGAAATCTATTAGCTCTTTCTTGAAGAAAATATTTTTTGAATGAGTGGCACCTGGCTGGCTCAGTCAGATGAGCATGTGACTGTGGATCTGAGGGTTGTGAGCGCAAGCCCTTCGTTGAGTGTAGAGAAAATCTTTAAATGTACATATTTTCTGAAAAAAGAACTTGTATGTAGACTGTGCTTCTAGTTTACAGATTTATCTATTTGTAACCAGAATTCTATAACATACAATGATTTGTATGAGTGGTTAAAAAATCCCATGTGATTTCTTTATATAAAAAAAAGGGAAAAAAATATTGTTAATTACCTAAACCTGCAGAGTGCTGATTTAAAACAGAATGAAATTTCTTGTCTATAATTATAGCTTGTGACTATAAATTGAATAACATAAGGCAGGAATTAACCTTAACTGTAACAATTGCCAGACCAATCTAATCCACTTAAACAAAACAAAACAAAACAAAATATTTCTCATACTTTTGTCTATAGGTAAATGACTTATAAAATACTAGAGGTCTCCTTAGGAAATAGAAGTAACTAAGGGAAAGTCAACTGTATTCAACCTTAAAATTATTTATTGCTGTAACACATCAATTCATTCAACATATTTTTATTGAATGCTTACCATGTATCTGGTACTATTCTCCGTTTGACAGATTGTGAGGAATACGGCAGTCAAACTCTCTGCTCCAAAGAAGGTTGCCTGCTAATTCTGAGAGCCATAGCCCAGAATACTTAAAAGAAAAACGATGACATAGTTTTATCTCAAAGAGCATTTTCTCATGTTCTAATAATTTTTTTTTTTAACTTGGTATAGTTAGCTGGTTTTCTTTGTACAAAGGAGAATCTTTGAGATGAAGCCGCATGTACTGGGGTGCCTGGGTGCCTCGGTCTGTTAAGCATCCAACTTTGGCTCAGGTCATGATCTTGCAGTTCATGGGTTTGAGCCCCGCATGGGACTCTGTGCTGGCAGCTCAGATCCTGGAGCCTGCTTCGGATTCTGTGTCTCCTCTGTCTCTGCCCCTCCCCACTCATGCTCTGTGTCTCCCTCTCAAAGATACACAAACATTAAATAAAAATGATGCATGTACCTTTATATTCAGTATATAAAGTTAATTCTTGCAAACACTACAGATCATCAAAAGGCTGCTTATCTGCCATGCCCTGTTTCAAGTATAAAGACAGTTAGAAAAATGGATTAGAAACAGATCCTGACCTCAAGGCATAGTTGATTATAGGGAATAGAACAATGACAGAAGAATGGCAGGGAGGCAGCTATAAAATAGGCTTTGTTCAAATCTCAGTAGTTAAAAAAGAGAATGAGGCAGCTGTGTGTGTGTCTGTACAGAGAAGTAGGACAGTATTATTGCCCTAATACGTGCATGTTTAAATTTTTATATTTTCAATTTTGTATTTCTTCTGAAACATGAAAACTTATGCTCGTTTTAGTACTTTCTTTCCATTTCAGAGTATGGAAGTAGTCTCTGATAAGAATTCCCTAAAATCCAGGCCTTCCTAATATTTTAGATGATTATGCACCTGGGATTTCCTACTCTGTCTTATCCAGAGGTTTCCTAAATTATATAACCAGGGAAGTCAAAAAGGGGGAATGAATTTATAAATGCATTAAAATCTCCCTATGCAGTAATGAACAGCTAGTATCTGAAAGGACCCACAGGTTTATTAAATAAATATATGAATTTAATATAACATTTGAAAATTGAAGAAAATATAAATGGGAAGAGAAATCTATCACATGTTTTCATTGGTAACCAGTATTTTCGTTAATACTATAAAAAAGCCTCAAATATTAGGAACTCAGAAACACTAAGTCCTTCTCAACTTTGAGAGATAGGTAAGGTGTCTTATTTTAGTTTTATTGACATAAAAATGAAAACAAAGATCGCGTGGCCTTTGTGCCTAATGAGTTATTAGCGTGCATGAAGGGCTCCAGGCTTGCTGACCGACCGGCCAGCGGTCCCCAGTGTGGTGTCTGGAATCATTAGAAGTGGGTGGGGCCATAAAAAGACCCTTAGAGGGATTTCTAAGCCTGGACTTGTTTTTGAAAGGCCAATTACATATCTCTTTTGTTTTGCTTTGTAGTTACCAGCTGACAAGTGGGTATAAGCCTGCCCCGATGGACCTGAGCTTCATTAAACTCACGCCGTCTCAGGAAGCGATGGTGGACAAGTTGGCGGAGAACGCTCACAACGTGTGGGCCCGGGATCGAATCCGGCAGGGCTGGACTTACGGCATCCAGCAGGTATGTGGGCTTGAGCTTTACGGCACGTGGGCTGCAATTTACGGCATGCAACAGGTACGTGGGAATTTAGCTTCATGGCGTGGGGGCTGAGATTTACCTAAGTGGTCATCAGCATGATTCCCAACAGGAGGGATTAAATAATGACCATTTTGAAACTCATATGCATTTCTTAATGTGACTGTGCACTAAGGCCCCTCTTCAATGCTCGACTCAAGAAATCAGATGACCATAGCTCTGAGTGTTGCCGTGAGGCACTCAGTGAATGTTAACTAGAACAGAGATTTATAAGGCAGTTTTGTGGCATTTGTCTCTCTGAGGTTGTGTTTAAGGAGAAACCTTTGAAATAATGAGAAGATGGGGATAAGATAATAATAAAAGAGGACCACAATTCCTTATTCGAATCCCCTGGGGCCAGATGAATTCCAGAATCGAGATATTTTTTTGGGTTTCTGGGACGTTGATGTGGTGACATATTACGTGTTACTTAGCACTCCCAGCAGGGCAGCAAAATGCTGCTACTAATTGTTCAGCACAGCGTAGGCATGATAATACCAGGAGGGATAAATAAAGACTATAAACAGGCTCGCATCAATTCAGATCATGTTTTACCACCAACCGAGTTTTTGTTAAACTTTGGTAAAAACTGAGTTTTCAGCGCTTTATGGATTTCAGAGCCATGGATCTCCATTAATGGGTGGCCCCCGTGGGAGTGACTGTCATTGAGTACATATTGGAATAAACATGGCAGAGGGGTGAAGAGCAAATTTTAGCTTTACCTCCTTGTCACCATGTGACCTTGGGAAGGCTACTTAAATCCTTAAATTCTCTGCGCCACTGTTTTCCTCATCAGGAAGTGATTTAACTTCATTATATAACTTCTGTCTGAGAAAGGCTGATAACAGTGCCTGCCTTCTAACGCACACAGAGAGCAGTTTGCTATTATATTAGGTGCCAGTCACCACACCCAGACGTTTACATGTATTCTTTTTAACTCGCAACAACAGTTACGTCAGGGAGAATGGTTTTTATTCCCGGTTCATGTGTGTACAGGGGGCCTTATTGAGAGCACTGCACTCAGTGCGGCACAGCTAGCAGGTGGCAGACACAGCTTGGGATCAAGGCTTCTGACTCCAGAGCCAAAAATTCTTCACTTCCTTGTTCCTTGTTGCCTCCAGCCAGCTCGTTTTGGGGCTGCCGTGACTTAAAAATTTTTCGGGAGGGGCGCCTGGGTGGCGCAGTCGGTTGGGCGTCCGACTTCAGCCAGGTCACGATCTCGCGGTCCGTGAGTTCGAGCCCCGCGTCAGGCTCTGGGCTGATGGCTCAGAGCCTGGAGCCTGTTTCCGATTCTGTGTCTCCCTCTCTCTCTGCCCCTCCCCCGTTCATGCTCTGTCTCTCTCTGTCCCAAAAATAAAATAAACGTTGAAAAAAAAAAAAATTTAAAAAAAAAAAAAAAAAAAAAAAAAAAAAAATTTTTCGGGAATAAAATGGATTCTTACTTACAGGCTTAGACTGTGGTTTGATATACAGCCTCAGTGTTGACTTGAAAAAATGAATTTCCCAAATCCTTCTAAGCTGGTGACTTTTTGCCATTGGGAAGGCTAAAGAAAACTTGAATAGCCTTGAGTGGCCTCATAAAATATATGTTTATGTTGAATTAAGCCGGCTATAACAGGAGAATGTCGGCACTAAATCTGCTTAAGCATTGTGTGTGTGTGTGAGAGAGAGACAGAGAGACAGAGAGAACCTGATTCTTACACCCCAGAGGGCTAAGGGGTCCACACTGGCTCTCTGCAAAAGGAGGGCTTACTTGCCTTGAAGGCCACATGGCAGTGTCAGACAAACCAGGATTTCCCTGATGTCCGTCTCTTCCTCGAGGGATGTTCTTTCCTGTTCATGCATTTCCTCCTACAAGCCTAAGGCTCTGTTTGAGCTGGCCAGAGCTCTCATTGAAATCCTTTCCCCATTCCCTCTCCCAGCTCCCACCCCTTCCCTCCACCGAATTCCCCACTGACATAACTCATGTTTGCTGGATTATTTGAACAAGCGTTGTCTTGAATTTTCCATCACCTTCTTGTTAGCGTAATCTAGTTCAGACCTATACTGAAAGTCCTTGAAAACAGCTTCATTGAATTACCTCTTCTCTGTCTGACTCTAGCACAGCTGGTCTCAAACCTGAGTGTGTGTGGAATCCCCTGGGGAGCTCCTGTGAACACTCAGAATCACAGGACATCTCTAGAGAGGATGATTCATTGAAGGCTTCAGAATTTCTGTAGAAAGTTTGGGGACAAAAACCATGTTGAAAAACAGGGGTGCTGGGTGGTTCATCTCACAGCTGGGCTGGCAGTGTAGGCGCTCTGTTTACACTGCTGGTTTATTTGGGGGTGGCTTTGGAGTGGTGCCCCCCACCAAGCAACCTAGGTGCTCTTGACCCTAATGGAGCAGGTATTGGTACGAATTTGCTAGAGCGAGGGGAGAAGAAAGTAGGAAAGGCTTTCCTTGCTCCTACCCACCCAGAACAGACCCACCACAGAACTCATTTTTCTCGAGAAGGTTTGGGAGGAACCACAGCCTCCTAATTCTTCATCATGCTGGGGTTATAGTGAGAGTTGAGTATGCTGCCCGAAATATGGAGAGTCTGACAAAAACTGCAGCGGAATCTCAGTGAGTGGATGGAAGGGAGTAATTTCTTTGCCAGGACGGTAGGATAGCCCACTTTCTGGCTTTGCTGATACTGGTTTCATCACATTTTTCAACTTGGAGCCTCTTTTGTAACAGCCAAATTGTGAGTTTTGTAGTTCTTTCAGTATTTCTGTTATTAACTGGTCTCACAGGTTAATGGAGTCACTTGAGTGCATATTTTTCAAGCTAGTTGAGTTCATAGAATGGCTGCCTATATCACACTGAATTTTTCTGAGAAAGGGACCACAGCCTTATGTTGTTTGTAGACCGATGTCACTGAGAGGTGACCAGTGATCATTTGACTCTTCTGGGAACAAAGACTTATCAGTCAACTGTGCAAGGAAATGCTGTGTGCTCCAAATTAGCCCATTGCCCTGTGACCCCAGCAGATGAAAGATGGTTACAGAGATCCTTCCAGTTGGCTTTTGTTACTGCTGTTTTTACTTTCTGTTACTGCTTTGAATAGATGCAGTTATTCATTGGATTGAATCTTTTGTATTGATAGTGGTTCAGTAACTTACCTGAGAAGACAAAGAAGGTGGGGGAGAGGCAGCTTTTAACTCAGGGACTTTACTTTTCTGTTGTATCTGGTGGCTGTCTCATTTCCAAAATGATTGCTGCAGCACTGCTTCGATGACCAACACCTTTTCTCTTCCCGTAGGATGTAAAGAACAGAAGAAACCCTCGCCTGGTTCCCTACACCCTTCTAGATGACCGCACCAAGAAGTCCAACAAGGACAGCCTCCGTGAGGCCGTGCGCACGCTGCTGGGATATGGCTACCATCTGGAGGCGCCAGATCAAGATCATGGTATTTGGGTTTTCCTTTCTTCCTCTTGGGTTGCAAAATTGTGTAGTAGTTCTTTAAAGCCAAATAATTGACTGAAAGGGGGGGAAACGTACGAGATGGAGTCCTTCAGGATGTAATTTAGTTTGTAATTTAGGCCAGTAGTTGGAGCATTTTTTTTTCCTGAGGACACGAAGGATTAGGCTCATCTCTCAGTAGAATGTCTTAGGACCACAGTGATTCTGCAAGGGGAAGAAATGGGTTTACCTTCCCAGAGAGTCTGAGGTTAATTAACCCTGAGATTGCCCCTGTTTCCATCCCACAGGCTTTCCTTCAGCTCTCCTTGTTTAGTTTGTGGGAGTAAACCCATAGCTACTGTCTTCGGAACGTTCATTATTTTTACTCATACCTATAGACACTATTCATTAATTAGTGCAACATTTTGCTTTAAGGTGAGCACATTAGAGTAAGCACTCAAGAAATATGTGTTGAAGAAATAGATTTTCAGAGGTTTTATAAAGAACACATTCCCCTTAAATAATACCTTTTAAGAATATGGTTTAGGGGCGCCTGGGTGGTGCAGTCGGTTAAGCGTCCGACTTCAGCCAGGTCACGATCTCACGGTCCGTGAGTTCGAGCCCCGCGTCAGGCTCTGGGCTGATGGCTCGGAGCCTGGAGCCTGTTTCCGATTCTGTGTCTCCCTCTCTCTCTGCCCCTCGCCCGTTCATGCTCTGTCTCTCTCTGTCCCAAAAATAAATAAACGTTGAAAAAAAAATTAAAAAAAAAAAAAAGAATATGGTTTAAAATGATTAGTTCCTTAAAGCTTTGCCTGAAGTCTGAGTTGGTGTGAATATCCATATTTTAAAATTGGCAGAAATGAAATAAACTGTGCGTTTCCTTATAGTGGCTATATTTTTTGGTAGAAAGTTTTTAAAAATGCATCCTAAATATTCTCTGATGACTACTATTTTCAGTGTAATAGCTGTGCAAAGATGTCCAGACCATAAATAGTAATAATAGCTAATGATTTTACAGTGCTTATCAGGTACAGCAAATGTCTCTAAGACCTTAGGCAATTACTTACTCCTCACAGTAGTAATCCTGTGTGGATGGTTTCTCCCACATCCTGGCCAAGAATTGGTAGTGAATCTTTCTGATTTTAACCATTCTGATAGATACAAAATAGGATCTTCTTAATAGTTTTAATTCTCATTTTCCTCAGAGTAATAGTGTTGAAATTTTTTCTTGCACTTATGGGCCATTGGGATAAGTGTTTTTTCAAATCTATATCCATTTTCAAAAATTGGGTTGTTTTGTCTTTTTATTGAATTGTAACTATATGTCATTGTAAATATTTGTACATATATGTAGATTTTCTGGATATGGAGACTGTGTCAGATATTGGAAATAACTCCTCCCAGGACCTGAGTTGTGCTTCCATTTTCTCAGTGAAATCTTTCAAAGAGCAGAACATTCTTAATTTTGATGAGGTCCATTTATGATTTTCCCTTCTTGGTTATATGTTGAAATCTTGAATAGGTTGAAATCTTGGCCTGTGCAAAAACAAAGATTTTCTCGGGTGCTTTCTTCCGGAAGTTTTATGATTGTAACGTTTTCATTTAGGTCTATAATCTGAATTGATTGAGTGTTATTTGTGATGGGAGACTAAGGTCGAGGTTCATTTTTGTCCAGATGGATCTTCAGCTGTCTCAGCACCATTGGTTACAACAAATTATCCTTTCCCATTAAGTCACCTTGCCACCTTGGTCAAATCTCTATTGACCATTGTGTTCTATTTATCCATATGTCTATCTTTAAGTCAGTACCACACTGCTATCTTTGTTATTACCACCTTATAACAAATCTTAACATCAGTAGGGTAGGTCCTCTAACTTCTTCTTTAAGAGGTTTTTCGGGCTCCTTTTTTCTTTGCATTTCTTTATAAATTTTAGATTCCAGTTGTCAATTTGGTTTTGTTGGGATATAGTTGGCTTTATAGGTCAGTTAGGGGAGAATTGACATTTTAATAATATTTAGTCTCTCAGTTCATGAACGAGACCTATCCTTCCATTTATGTTGGTCCTCTCTAGTTGATCTACTACTTTCAGAGTAGAGGGATTGCCCATTATTTTTAGAGGCATCTGATATTTTGGAAACTATTATAAATGAAATTAGTTTTCATTCATTTCATCTTCCAGTTGAAAGATGAATATGTTGAATATGAGAAACACAAATGTTATGTATATGTTGATATTACATCCTGTGGTCTGGCAGAATTTATCATACTTTTTTTTCCTTTCTCTTTCTTTCTTTCTTTCTTTCTTTCTTTCTTTCTTTCTTTCTTTCTTTCTTTTTAGGATTTTCTACCTACATAACCATGAGGTCTCCCCCCAGCGCCCCAAAAAGTTTTACTTTTTCCTTTATAATTATCATGCCTTTTTGTCTTTTGACTTATTGAACTGGGAAAGAATTACAATGTTTAATAAAGTGGCAAGGGAGATTATCCTGCCTTATTCCCAGTCTTAAGGGAAAAATTTTTATTGTTTCATCATGAAGTATGATGTTAACTGCTCTTATCACCATGAAGAAGTTCTCTTCTCTTCCTAGTTTTCTGGGAGCTTTTATCATGAATGGGATATTAAATTTTACCAAATATTTTTTTTTGCCATTTATTGAGAAGATTATATATTCTTCTCCTTTATTCTGAGAATACTATGAATAACATTGATTTTTGAATGTTAAAACAAGGTTGCATTTCTAATACAACTCTGCTTAGTCAAGGTGTGTTATCCATCTTTATATATACCTGGATTCTCTTTGCTATTCTATGAAGGATTTTTATATCTAAATTCATAAGCAGTACCGGTATGTCATTTCCTTTTCTTGCAACATCTCTTTGTCAGCTTTTGTTATGAGGGTAATCCTGGCTTTGTGATACAAAGTAGGAAATGTTCCCACTGTTCTCTGAATTTGAGATAGTTTTGTATTATGTTTTACTGAAATGTCTAGAATTTATCATTAAAACCATCTGGACCTATGGTTTTATATTTTAGGAAAGGTATTTGATCATGAATTCAAATGTCTTTAATAGCTATGGGAGATATTTAGATTTTGTTTCTTCTTATGTCAGTGTTGATAAGTTATGTTTTTTTCAGTAAGTTAGTAAATTCATAAATTTCATGAATTAAGTAAATTCATTTAAGTTGCCGTATTTATTGGCATAAAATTGTTCTAATGTCCCCTTATTATTCCTTTAATGTTTGGAGGGTCTGTAGTGCCACTTCTTTCCATTTTTGGTATTCACAGTTTATGTTTCTCTTTTTCTGTCATGGTCAGTCTTCTTAGGGATGTACTGACTTTACAAACCTTTCAAAGAGCGAATCAATCCTAAATGTATTTTTTGGAGGTTAAACTTTTTGACATTTGCTTATTTTCCCACATCACCAATCTTGGATTATTATGAGTCACTTGTCACAATTATGAGTGGCTTTGCATCACGTCTCCTCAGAAAGATGGCACTGTTGAATGACTGTGACGTCCTGTGGACAACTTCCTTCTTTGATCACTGTTAGAGCTCCTGGTTTCACAGCCCTGTGAGCCCCCTTTGCAGTGATCTATTAAATGTAATTAAAAAATATTTTTGATGTTTATTTATTTTTTGAGAGACAGACAGAGAGACAGAGCATGAGCAGGGGAGGGGCAGAGAGAAGGGGAGACACAGAATCTGAAGCAGGCTCCAGGCTCTGAGCTGTCAGCACAGAGACCAACACAGGACTTGAACCCACGGACCTGAGCTGAAGTCAGACACTTAACCCACTGGGCCACCCAGGTGCCCCTAAGTGTAATTTTTAATGAACAACTAGGTATATCAGGCATATAAATATTTACTAATAACATAGCACTATGTTAACTAGACTTGTAGTGATCATTTTGCAATGTATATAAATATTAGATCATTCTGTTGTAATATGAAAATAATACAATGGCATATATCAGTTACCTTAATAAAAAATAGACAAATAGGCAATATATGTAAATAGTAAGGGAAACTGCATCGATTTAAAAACACATGAAGATATTTCAGATCTCCCTAATCATTAGAGAAATGCAAAATAAAATATTTATAGGTTTATATCCAACAAATTAAAGTAATTAGAAAGCTATATGATACCATGTGTTGACATGGATGTGACACAATGGGAGCCCTGTGCATCTCAGTTGAAAGTATAACTTGGCAAATTTGTTGCGTGAAAAGCTTGTATTATGTAGAAACCATGAGTATGACCCAGCAAATGGCACACTTGGGTGTAGAAACACTCATGTGTAGGTCTAGACACAGGTGTGGAGGAATGTGTTTATTATAGCATTATTTGTGATTGTGAAAGCTGAAAGTATCCTATGTGTCCATCTCTGGGAAATGTTGATAGATAAAAATAATAGAAATGTTAAAACCTAGCATGCAGCAATTCAGAAGCAGTGATCATGAAGTACGGAATAGAGCAGGGATATAATACAATTAATATAATTTCTGAGTACCTTACCGCTTACAAAAACACAAACCTGTCCAAGGCAAAACAGCATACACATTGGAGTGATGCCAGTGGTGGACACGGAGTGAGGAAATGCATTTCAGGATCAAGGATTAGGGAAAAGGAAAAAAGTAATAGAGGAGACTTACACAGTCCAACAGAAAAATATAAATGACATGAATAGTGTAGTGTCTTAGCTCCCCAACTCACACACACACACACACACACCATAAAGTAAAACAAAGCACCAGATTAGACAACACTCTGGCGCATGGGAGCTGGTTAAAAATATCATGGTACATTCATACAATGGAATATTATGAAGTTCTTAAATATAATGAAGTGCCGATAGGAAGCAATCTCAGATGTATCATATTAAGGTAAAGTAGCAAAGTCCTGAGCTCTGTGAAGAACATGGTACTATTTGCATTATAAAAAAGAATATATGTAAATGCTTGCATATGCACAGTCTGACTCTGGAAAGACACAGAAAAC